GTTATCTTTCATCGGTTTTCTTTCTCAAGTGTGGATCACCTTAATCCTACACAGTCGTCCACTCATGGCTAGTTTGGTGTCTGATGGAGTTCCCCACAGCACTCTCATTACCCTTATGAAATTCTGCACCATTTCCAAGAGTCTCAGTCTCACTTTCCAATCACTGGTGACCTGGTGACATACTTTTAGTCTTGGCCAATCAGCAAGAGACCACCAAGCATTTAGGCTGGAATAGTGAGGATCAGTGCTGAAGGCTTCATCAGGCACCAGGTTTATAAATATTTGTTTCAGTAGTAATACTTTCATGCTATAATGACTCTTACTTCCCTTTAGGGCCACGTGACAAAAGGACTCAAAACACAAAGTATAGATAAAGTGGGTTCCCACTGCTCCAACACAGAAGTCTACACTTTGGACTTTAAACTGTAGTGTGAACACACACATAATCCATGTGCTATAATGTGTCACCATGTGGGCTATATAAAATGCCACCAAGAACCCAGAAGCAGAATTGGGCTTTGAGCTGAGCTCTGGGAAAGGCACTTTAGAGAGGCCCGCAAGGAGTGAAATATTTGCTCAGAACCTGAAAATGGGAGTAAGACTGTTCAGAAAAAAATACAGAGAAAGGGCAGTCCAGGTGCAAAGAACACTATGTTGAAAGTTCACCAGTGTGGAAGTATGTAGGGACAGACAGTAACTGATACAGCTATAGGGTTCAGCAGACTTGGGAAATGGGAAGGACAAAACATTGAAGCCAGATAGGTAGACTGAGCCAGGTTATAGGAGCCTGTTAGTCATATGGCATAGTTTCTACACTGTTGACATTTGGGGCCATGTTGTTCTTTGTCGTAGGGGGACCATCACTGTCCTAAGGCTTACAGGATCCTGAACAGCCTTCCTGGTGTCTTGCCACTAAAAGCCAATGGCACCAGTGGTGACAACCAACCGCATCTGCAGACATTGCCCAATACCCCTGAGGGAAATCATTTTTCTTCCCTCAGGCAGCCAAGTATAGCTGTGGAATAGATGACCAGTGCTATTTGTGCAATAACGTAATGAAGGAAGCACAGGCAAAAATACTGGAGAAGAGAAAGGTCACTTTCTCTGAGTCCAGAAGAAATAAATACAGAGGATAAGGAGAATACAAGCCATTTTAAAGAGGAAAGGAAGGAAATTGCAGGAGTCCACAGTGATTCTGAAATAAAGGTCATTGCTGAGAAGTTCAGAGGAGAGGCTGGTTTGGAGTTTGAGGAGAATAGATAAGTGTCAAAAGAGCAGCTGATAAGTGTACAAATCAGGCTCAAAGAGATGCATCCATTTCTGGAGCATATGAAAAGATGTCAGGGAGCCCACAGGGCTTACTGCTCTATTTTAAGAGTTACATAATTAGCACGTATGGTGGGGACACACTGGTTTTCTATTGATGGTACAATAGTTATATAAAGTTTCACCACAACATATTTTAAAGAAGCTGATTCTAACAAAAACAGTGTTTCCTCTTACTAGACTCACTCAACATAGACATACTTCCAACACCAGATGTGTGGTGGGTTTCCCCATGCACTAGGGAATTATCTGCTTTTCTCTTTCAATGCTGACACTCTACTCAGAGATAGAGTTAGCTCCCACAGATTAAGGGGTCAATCTTCATGACTGTCCTCATTTCACATACCAATCTCAAGTCCCAGATTGTAACCTGGGGCTCTTGGCTGACCAGCTATAAATTGGGATTCCCACCATCCCCTCCTGGAGTTTGATAACTTGCTAGGATACCTCACAGAACACAGGGAAACGTAAGTTTATTACAAAGGATACTGATGAACAGCCAGATGGAGAGCAGGACCCATTGGATCCAAAAAAAGGAGCTTCTGTCATAAAGCTGGGATGCACCACCCTCCCGGTATGTGAATGTATTTACCAACCCAAAAGCCTGTCAACTCTCCTGCTTATGAGTATTCACAGAGCGTAATCACTAGCTCTATCTACCCTTTTCTGACATTGATAAGTGGGGCTAAAAGTTCCAGCTAATTGTTGGGTCTTTCTGGTGTCTGGTCCTACCCTGAGGCTAGGTGGGCCCCACTTAAGTCACCTAAATACCATAAGCTCAGAAGTAATAAAAAAAGTTTCTTATAACAAAAGACATCCCTATCACACAGGAAATTCCAAGAGTTGGAGGAGCTTCGTAACAGGAACCAGGGACAAAGACAAAACACATTTTTTAAATCACAGAAGTAATTCCTTATCCTCTGGGGATATGTTCCAAGACCCTCAGTGGATGCCTGAAACCAAAGACAGTACTGAATTCTCTACACAAGCACTGCAGTGCCTCAACAGCTGATACACTCTAGTAACTGACACTAACAGGTGGGTAGTGTATACAGCATGGATACGCTGGACAAAACGGATACACATTCAAGGCAGGACAGAGCAGGATGACACAAGATTTCACCACACTACTCAGAATGGTGCACAATTTTAAACTTTATTCCTGGAATTTTCCACTTAACATTTTCAGATCCTGACTGACCGTGAAACTGTGGAAAGCAAAACCATTCATTAAAGGTGGATTGCTGTATACCACACTGATATTTAAAAAATCAAGCAATTATAAAACAAGTGGGACAATGGCAGCATAAAAATTGTGCAAACAGTGAGTGAGTGAAGTTTGGAAATAAAAGGAGCTGGGCCTCAGCTGGAATTGGAGCCATGACTTCCTTGGCTTTCCCCATCAGGGCTGTCTCTTCAACGTGCTAACGTGGGACCCACTAACACTGGTGTTTTCATGTGCTTCTCCACATACTGATCCCTGGTCCCAGCCTGGCAGCTATCTTCTCTGCAGTCAAGGAAGATGTCCTTATAGAAGACTGAGGCTGCACTTCACAGTCCTGGGTCTCTTGTTTCTCAACAAACAACCCTCCTTTTAAGTACCCTCTAGTTATTTCTTGACAATCTTATTTCTAGTTGTTTGTATTTCAGCTTCCCAGCTAGTTTTTTTTTCTTTTCCAGTGCTGGGGACTGAACTCATGGCTCTGTGCATGTTAAGCAAACACTTTACTAAGCTACATCCCCAGCCCCTCTTAGCCAAAAAAATCCTCTTGAAGTTTTTTGTAGGTGGAAGTCACGTCTGTATTCTTCCCAGGCATGGGGCTGGGCAAGATCCCTTACTGGAAGGGTATAGGAATAAGTGTCATCCCTGGGCCACAGCCAGAGCAGCCAGTTATCTAATTTCAAATCAAGTTTAATGACCTACTGACGTCCTTATTTCTGTGAGAGGCATTGTCAGTAATACAAAAACATTCATAGGCTTCCTCTGTGTGTCTCTCGGATACATTCTCTCCAGGAGAGTACCCATAAAGGTCTCGCTTTCCAAAGCAAAGAAACTGTATCATTTCCATTATGCAAAGACACAGAAAAAGACTCTTGGGTCCCAGAACCCCATCCTTCCATATCCTGGCCCCCAGCATTTCAGATGTAATAAGTAAAATAATAAATTGATATGGTGTGTGGGTGGGAGGGGTAGAATAGGTGTCATTTAACTTTCATGATTTTTGAACTGGGGGCAGAATAACATTAAAAAATAAATAGAATAGGAATGCTGGATGGCAAATAGCCACATTCGCTCCAGGAATGGCAGGGACAGGCTGTTCTGTGCTGATGGTTCCTGAATCAGTGTTTTTAACACCCAGCGACATTAACTTCGCATCTTAATCAAGGCCGAGGCACTCTCAGCAGCCCTTAACGCATTACCTCCCCAAGAAATCACTCTAAGTACCATAGGATTGAAAAAAAAAATCCTAGGTACTACAAATTCCACTTAGCCACCACCCAGCCATATTATTTCCTTCCTAATGTAATTTTTCTGTTTTCTTTCTAAAGGGCTTCGGCTATTTAAAAAAAATTATCCTCTCTCCTAAATTAACTTGGCTTTTATTCAACAATCAAGCTAAGAACAAGAGGAAGTACTTCTGTAACTACCTTATAAGTAACCAAACGTCAAGATTTTCCTCCATAATCATTTCAAATGCCAATTGTTCTGTTGGGAGATACAAGGTTGTGCAGAGTGGGGGAGCAGCGGGAGTAGGAAGCCTTACCCCGACAGCTAAGCCTAGCAGTGCACCCAGTGGACAAGTCTCATCACTGACAACACAAGCCACTCCTCCGGCTCCCTTAATAGTCACTATTTCATTTATGCAACAAATAATTACGGGAATCATTAAACAACAGCCTCGCCCTCAGAGGCTTACAGTCTAAAGTTAAACAGATAACCTAGATGGTTTCATTAATTCTTTCCACAAATAAATATTTCATTTTTCAATACTTTTTGAGCTTTTGCTATGCAGGAGGCTCTGAGAGTCATCGTCAGGAAAGGCAGGCAAGATCCCGTGTTTAAAAGAGTACTTCTAGTGGGAATTAAATAAACAAACACTAAAAGAATGCATCAGGATGTTGTGATGGAGCGACTAGAGTGGGAGGACCTGCTGAGGAAGGCTGGTGAGCCATGAAGACCCTCCGTCCCCTCGCTGGGCCAGTAATCAGCCTGACTTGTGTCTCTGTCTTGTCCCCCGAGTCGCAACTTGGCAGGCAGGTGCCATGGGCACAGAGCAAACTGGTTGGCTGGCTCGTCTGGCTGCTTTCAGCCCCACCGTTGCCTGAGCTGAGACAGAAGGTGGGAGCAGCCGTCTGGGGTAAACTTTCAAACCCGACGCCACGGAAACTTGTTTGGACGAACCCACAAACACAAATCCTCCAAGGACGCAGGCCTTCCTACCAGATCCCAACCCACACAGCGTAAAAAATGGCGCCGCGTCGCCCCGCGCCTACGCAAAACAGCGCCTGCGCAGCCGGGCGCCCGCCCGCGGGAGCGCGCTACTCGGATCTGCGCCGGCGCGCAGCGCTGCTCTCACGCAAGGGGCGGGACTTACCGTAGTTGCGCCCTGCGCGAGAGGCGGGGCTTGGTTGCGCCGCGCTGGACCCGCGCTGGCCGGGCCGGGCCGGGATAGGGCGCGGGGCCGAACGTCCGGACGTCCTCGAGCCGGGCCGTACGGCGCCTGCGCGCTGCGTTGCCGGCCGGCTGTGGGGCGGGGCCCGTGTACCCCGTTTCTCGTTGTTCCCTAGCGCCGCGCGAACGTTGAGCAGGCTGCCAGCACCATGAAGATCTGGACTTCGGAGCACGTATTTGAGTAAGTTTGGGACGCTCTGGGCCTGGAGTGGGGTGAGGCAGAGAAGACCTCGGGGGCTTCCCGACGTCGGGCCTGGCGTGGGAGCAGAGCCCGGGCCCCGGGAGAGTGGAGGACGCAAGGTCGCGACCCAGGGCCGGGGTGGCGGCCGCCCGGTGCGGCGGGAGTGGGGCAGCGGGCGGGCGGCCTGGAGGAGCCTCCCGGCATCCAGGGGACGTCGCAGAGTACAAGGTCCTCGACAGTTCTCAGGGCTGCCACCCGGCCTGGCCAGGTCCAGTTGCGATGGGGACCCACGGTCTCGAGAGTGGCGTGGGTTTCATCAGGAGTCCAGTTGCAGCAGCCCCCGTCTGGGAGGCATTTCTAACCTGGAACATGAATTTCGAGTGAACTGGAGCCACCAGGATCCACACCCTTGATGACAGCTCCTTCACCTAACCAGCACAGAGCCTTGGTGTTGGAGTCCAAGGCCTTACTCTGGCTCCACAAGTTTGTGACCTTGGTTTCCCATTTTAATCTGAAATGGAAGTTGACGTCTGACCAGGATCTGCCTGTGTAAGATCTCCGAGACAACACTCAGTTTTGGTTTTAGTGAACTTTATTTTACTTAATTAATTTTGTTTTGCAACAAGGTTTCACTGTGTAGTTCAGGCTGGCCTTGAACTCACTATGTATGTAGGCCAGCCTGGCCTCGAACTCACGGTGATCCTCCTGCCTCAGCCTCCAGAGTGATGGGATTGCAGGCATGTCACCACACCCAGGGATTATCATGAACTTTAGTAACAAAAATCAGCCTTAAACCAATAGAATATTATAAATTATCTTCAGGAGCCACAATTTAACATACAACAAAATTACATATAAGCAACTATGACATTTTTGACCTAAATAAATGGTTGGTTGAGGTTAATTCCAGGACTCTGTTGACTGACTTCCTCTGCTGTAAATCCCATTGCTGTGATTTATATTTGATTCCATTTCTAAGCTATCTGCTGTTTTTGACTCATCTTGCTGGTGTTGTCATAGTGTTTTAATCACTATAGCTTTGTGGTGTAGTGTTTCTGGGGGCAGTTTTAAAAGACATTTTCAGCCAGGTATGATGGCACATACCTGTAATCCCAGGACTTGGGAGGCTGAGGCAGGAGTTGGATCACCCCTATTTCAAGGCCAAGCTAGGCTACATAGTTCAAGAACAGCCTGAAGTACAAAGCAAGACTCTTATCGACATTTTATCATAGTGGATCAGACCCATCTAAGGGCCCACTGTTTCTTGGAAAAAGGCTAATTAGAACCAAAAGGAAGTTTTCTTTTCTCCCTAATGTTTATGACCCTTCTTGGACAAAAGCCTTAAATCTGTACTCTTCCTGTGTCCTTCCTGTAACCTGGTCACACCCTTCACTAGTCCTCTTCCTGATTTGAACTTCGCTCTGAGTTTCTTTGGACTTTTTTCTTTCAGTGGTACATTTTTGCAGTACCTAACAGTTAACTTGGGTCCTTTGTTTGAGGGAATTGGTACATGTGTATGACATTTCTTGGTCATTTTCAATTCCTTTAACCCCTCCCTAGCCTTCCCCCGTTCCTTTCCCCATCTCAAAGTTTTTTTCTCAATTCTTTTCAAAAAGTTTTTTGTTTCCTACCATCTTTCATTTTGCTTTTATTTATATTTTAGATTTCTTACGTAAGAGAAACCACGTGATAGTTTACTTTCTGTATCTGACTTATTTCACTTAACATTATGGTCTCAAGGTCCATCTGTTTTCCTGTAAATGATGTGTTTTCATTCTTTATGGCTGAATTATTGTTCAGATACACACACACACACACACACACACACACACACTCAGTCTGCCCAAAAAAATGTATTCACACTTAAGGACAAGAAAACCTTGTGTAAATATTTTAATACCAAATTTATTACGACATCATGAGATTAATACAAGTTAACTTTTGACATCTACAATTATAAGAGGTGCTCAAAAAAGTGGTGCCATTGGCTTCCAGGCATTTATTAGTAAGCAAACTGCTGCTTGGGTAACCTTGGTCATTGAGATTGCTGCACATGCATTTCAGTTTCTTCTCTAAGGGCTGACAGTGTAGTGGGTTTTCTTCAATATATGACATCCTCTGGGGTGCCCTATAAGAGGGTAACACTATCTGTTGAAAAAAAAATCATACCTTTTTTTTCCTGAAGTGTATATACATTTTTTGGGCACATTCTGTATATATCTCACAGTTTCTTTGCCCATTTGTCTGTTGATGAGCATCTAGATTGTTTCCAGAGTTTAGTTACTATGAAATGAGCTGCTCTAAACATGGGCGGGCATGCATGTATCATTATAATATGGTATCTTTTAATTCCTTTAGGGATAAACCCAAGGGAGAGACAGCTGGGTTGAATGAAATTTCTACTTTTAGTTTTTTCAGGAATCTCCGTACTGATTTCCATAGTATTGTACTAACTTATATTCCCAGCAACAGTGTAAAGGATTCCTTTTCCCCCTACATCCTCATCAGCTTTTTTTGTTCTTAATGATAGCCATTTTGACTGGAGAAGATGACATCTCAGAGTTTTGATTTGCATTTCCCTAATGGCTAAAGATTATAAATATTTTTCAGTGCATTTATTGGTTTGTACTTTTGAAAAGTGTCTGTTCATTTCATCTGCCCATTTTATGCTTGGATCGTTTGTTTTGGGGGTGTTAAGTTTTTTGAGTCTCTTTTTTTTTTTTCTAGTACTGGGGATTGAACTAAGGACCTTGCACTTGTGAGGCAGGCGGCAGCACCACTAAGCTAAATTTGAGTTCTTTATATACTGCAGATATTAGTTCTCTAGCTAGCTAGCAAAAATATTTTCCCATTCTTCTGTAGGTTGTCTTTTCACTGTTTCTTTTGCTGTGCAGAAGCTTTTTTTTTTTTTGGTACCCGGCATCAAACTCAGGTCCTTGCGCTTTCGTAGCGGGTGGCGAAACCACGGATCTAAATCCCCGGCCCAGAAGCTTTTTGATTTGATGTAGTCCCATTTGTTGATTCTTGACTTTATTTCCTGTGCTGCTGGAGTTCTATTCAAGAAGCCTGCACCTGTGCGTATAGCTTCAAGTTTTTCCCTCCCTGTGATAATCCTGCACCAGTTTTAAAATTTGTTTTTATACCTAGGTGTTTGATTATTCTTAGACCTCCTTTCTCTTCCCTAACGCTCTTTCTTCTCTTCAGCATGTCCCCCACTCCTCTGTCCTCTTCTGCTGCCCCTTTCTTCAGTATTGCCCTCTTTTTCCTTATCAGTGTAAATGTTCAATGAGATTGTTGTTAGCCTTTTGTCTTGCATTTCATTAATAATCTTATTTTTTTTTCTCTTTTTGTCACAGACCTCTTAGAAATTTGATGAGAGGTCTTGTAACTTTCTTCCTGAAGATAGACAGGCATGTTCAAGTAAATGCCATCCATGTGCCAAGAGAAGAAGCCCTGGTTAGGCATGCTGTCCAGATAGTTTGACCTGCTCGGTTAGGGTCCCTTCTCTACACACACATTCATAGCACTCAGATCTCCATGAGCACTCGTCAGTCTTGAACTTCAAATCCTTATTCTCAGGTGACTAGCAGACACCTGAATTCACTACCCACATTCCCAGAGACTTGTCAAACTGAGCATCCTTGAAGTTGAAGTCATAATGGCCTCACAAATTTCTCATTCTCATATGTTTCCCATTTTCATGACGTTTTCTGAAACAATAGCTAAGTCATCATTGTACATTTTATCCATCCTTGATTTTCTAGCACTGCTACTACCTCTTGAGGCCTGACATAAATTGGCATTCATTTGAAATCATTGATTCCTTCAACATATAAGAATGCTCAGTGTGTGCTAGGCACTGTTCTTTGGACTGGCACACTCTAGTAAAGAAATCAAGACACTTGGTTGTGTGAAGTTCACCAAGTCTACACCTTATTGGTGAAGAAACTATAAGTTCTCTTGATTCCACTTTGGTGGTGTCTATTAATGTCTTCCAGTTTTAGGTCTTTTTCACATAATTATGTTAATACAGTTAAAATTAATTGCTGGAAGACTATTAATCATAATGTGTGTCTTTTGTAATATTTGTGCTAGTTATGTTTAGTCCAAGTGAAGTCAACATAATTGTTTTCAGGGTGGCTTAGAAAACAGAGATGACCTAAATTACAAATAATGCACAACCACCTTGAAGCCATGTGGTTATTTATTTTTTAGAGAGGGCAATGGGAAAAGATAAGTTCATGGAAGCCAGCTAACCATGGTATATTACTAGGTGGACAGGAAAGAGGTTCATCTGATTCTCATTTTGGATAGTTGCCTTGGTAACAGTCAGAGTGCTTGGCCTGTATCATTTCTATTTGTGAAAACCATTTAGATTTATGAAGCTGTTCCACTTAGGGTATATCTGAATTGATTACTGAATAATAAGGCTTGAGATTAAAAACAATAAGGATAATTTATACAACATTATAGAGAAAATGAGGACATTAAAAATCATGTCACTGATTGTCCAGGGTTCTGGGGAATTAATGGAGTTGAGATTTTCCTTCTGTTGACACGATGTAGTTACCAGTCTGAGTTCTCTAAAAAGTTGAAATAGATTAATGTCTGCCCTTCTGTGTGTCTACAAAAATAAGAAGTAATGCTGTGTGATTTATATCAATCAGTGTAGCTTAAAAATCATCTCTAGATCTCATTTTTTTCCTGTAGAATGAAGACAGGGAGCCAGTTATGATGATGCACACCTGTGATCCCAGAAATCCGGGAGGCTAAGCAGGAGGATCCCAAGTTTAAGCCTGGCAATTTAGCCTGGGCAATTTAGCAACTTAGCAGGACCTTGTCTCAAAATTCACAAAGGGCTGGGTATGTAACTCAATATGAAGGCCCTGGGTTCAATTTCCAGTATCTCAGAAATAAGTGAAGGAAGGGAGAGAGGATTAATAGTGTAGCAGGGATGGAATCAGACTGCATGCAGAACAAACCACCTTTAATACTAATTGTAGTTAAAAAGAAATTCAAGAAGGATGTATTTTGTACAAGCATCTTATGCACAGAGGTCGTGCAGAGACCACATGTACATCACATTTTGAATCAGTCAAGCACATACGCTTTTTCAAGAAAATAAAGACTACAAGTTCTTGAGTGATGTGGTATTACTGCCATTTTAACCCTGGGTAATAAATAAATGCCTGCTATTAAGAGGGATTACTAGAAATAGCATTTTGGGAGTGCCTTAGTAACATGTATTGAGTGACCTTTCTGAAACATATCAAAATCACTTCTTTGAGGAAAACAATGGCTATTGACTGGAGAGACCACTGTTACTTATTACATTAATATAAAGAGAAAATTTTAATAATGATACTTCGAATCTTTTTGTAATCCCTATAACCATGTACAGTGCCTACTTTAAAAAAAGAATTTAGGGGCTGGGGATTTAGCTCAGTGGTTCAATCCCTGGTACCAAAAAACAACAAAAAAAGAATTTAGTGTCTAAGTTCTTTTACTCTTTATAACTTCAGAAAATTGTCATCAGACAAGAATAAATGGTGGGGTTTCTGCTATTTTTTCAGAAGACTTCATTTTTTAAACACATTTTTATGAATCAGTGGTTCTTCTAAAAACAATTTACATGTAAAGCAGTTATTTAAGAAATTGTACTTGAATGCTCTGTAGGTAGTTTATTCTTTATAGCCTTCGGTGGTTCTGTATAGGCTGTGTTCTGAAAAAATACTGAAGTTTGTACACATTAAAATGTTGACCAAGCCTCAAAAAATCATTTTTCAGTCAGTGTTTCAGAAAGTAATTTTCCCTAGGTAAACTAGTGAAATTTCCATTGTAAAGAATGATTTGGAGGCTTATAAAAATTGTTTAATTCATATGCATATTTTTTAACAGTTTTTGGTTTATGTTGGCAGCCACCCTTGGGAAACTGTCACAACAGCTGCGATGCAGAAATATCCAAACCCGATGAACCCCAGTGTGGTTGGAGTTGACGTGCTGGACAGACATATGGATCCCTCTGGAAAGCTGCACAGCCACAGACTTCTCAGCACAGAGTGGGGACTGCCTTCCATTGTGAAGTCTGTAAGTGTGTCCTGATTCCCAGAGAAATGACCGCGTTAGAGAAGTTTTCTAAACCACGTTATAATTTCAAATAGGTTGTGGGAGCTGATTCTGAATGTCATTTTTGTATCAGTTCAAATTATATTATAATAAACTTGAGTTATGAGTGTATAATGAATTGGAAATATTATTACAGTCTTCATGAAGGCACTAGATAAAACCTTCTGAAGGAAGCCAGCTAATATTCTGAAATCTAAAAGGAGTTACATTGTTTTTCTTGGTTTTTCTAGCAACTTGGAACCAATAAGATTTAGCATCACTGGTCTGATCATGACTGCTAGGGTACAGTTGCTGTGGCCAGTGGTAGGTTGTGCACATTAAGTAAGGAAAATATTTTCAGACTTGCTGTTGTCACCTTTGTGCCACAATTAGGTATTTCTTCACGTACATTTAGAAACAATTCTATTCAGTTATAAACAAGCAGACTTTAAAGAGCTAATTTAGCAAGAAACTAGAATGCTGATTTATATAAGAAAAAACTGGTGTGATAAGTGAACCTAGGTTTCTGTTCAGCTCCACTCAGAAAACTAAGTACACGTTCTTTTTTTTTGGTGCCAGGGATCGAACTCGGGTCCTTGCACTTGCGAGGCAGGTGGCTGAACCACTGAGCTAAATCCCCGGCCCTTAAGTACATATTTTTCAACAGAAACGTACCAATTACCTCCTTTACACAGACTATGGCATTTGATGGTAGGGCCACAGAAATGAGTAAAATCAGGAGATGGCTTTGAGGGTCATATAGCACAGGGAGGGACACTGGGAGCAAACATGTGCTCTTCACCGTGAAAGAGCTATTTTTTCATCTTCTGGATAAAGCAGTGGGGCCTTCTCCCTTGGACTGCTCTAGGAGACACAGATCTCTTGAGTTCTCCCTTTCTTAGATGCCAGATTTCCCCAGATCTGATTTCCATATTTCCACTCTGTGCTTCCTGGTCACGCCTGGGCAATTTCAACATCAGATAGGCTTTCCTTATGACCTTTGTCTGTTTCCTCCTGATTTTTCAAAACAGATTTTTTTATTCCACATACTGTACACATTTATACCTTCAAATGAAATATTGATACACTTGGTAAGAAATCCTTCCTCTGATTACTAATTCCAAATGTTTTACTTAGATTATTGGTGCAGCAAGAACCAAAACATATGTTCAAGAACATTCTGTAGTTGATCCTGTAGAGAAAACAATGGAACTTAAATCTACTAATGTAAGTTTGGGCTCTCTTTTCTTTTAATTTTGAACTGTTTAGCCTAATTTTTTGTCTCTTATATAGTTGATATGTAGATGGGTGTGTGTTCTTCAGTGTCGTATATAGAGTCAGTATTCAGAAGCTGTGTTGTCTCTGCCCTGTTCAACTTCCCGTTACTGCAGTGGACTTGCCTCTTTCTCAGAGCTATCATTCAATAAAGTGGATTTGGGATCATGTGCACATTATCATCATTATTATACTTTCCTTAAATTTATTTTTCAATAAAAAGATAGACAGCCAGTAGTGAAATTTAAGCTATATTTACATAGCAATATCAAAGTGGTTTATTTGTTGGTTTCATTGTTTTGTATATTTAAATAGTAAGACTTTGGTTCATGTGTTAGTTTGAGAAATATTTTTAATCTTTATTTCAAAAATAACAAACTCCCCTCCTCCTCATTCTATAGATTTCATTTACAAATATGGTTTCAGTAGATGAGAGACTTATATACAAACCACATCCTCAAGACCCAGAAAAGTGAGTAAAAAGTTAACAAACTTATTTTACAAAGCTTTTTTTTTTGGATCAAGTATTTTTTAAAATAATGCAAGTTGGGTCATCTGAAACTGTTGGTGTGTTTTGTGCCAGAACTGTTTTGACTCAGGAAGCCATAATCACGGTGAAAGGGGTCAGCCTCAGCAGTTACCTTGAAGGACTGATGGCAAGCACAATATCTTCCAATGCTAATAAAGTAAGTGGGCTGCTTCCTAATTGTTTGTTATCCCTGGGTTCGTTTCCTGGAAGAGCTTGTGCTGAATGTGTATTTGTCCTTGTAAGCTGACTCTCAGCTGCTCTGCAGTGCAAAGCAAGAGGACATTAGGCAGTTGTTGGCACAGCTCTCGCCCAGCACACCTGAGTTTACATGCAAGCTCCAACTCCTGACCAGTCTCTCAACCGTGAGCAATGATGTTAACTCTCCATGCCTCAGTTTCCCTTCTGTGGAGTTGAGGTCACCCTCTTGCAGAGTTGGCATGAAGTAACATGGCAGGTGTGTGGCCCAGGGCTCTGCACATAGGAAGTGCTGAACGATGTGTGGCTGTCACTGTTGAGAGTGCTGGTTCCTAGCTATATCTTATTACCTCCTCCATTGGTTTTAGACATTTCTTTCTAATTGCCACCCCCATAAAATTATTTAATAAGCACACATAACATACACACATATACGCTTTATACATAAAAGAATGAAATTATAAGTTAAGGAAAGGGCTGCCTGATACATTATTTTTTAAACACATGTTTACTAATAAAGTCATTCAGCAGTCAGAAATATTCATAGATACCTTTTCTATGCCAGGCAGAATGCCAGGTTAGACTGGGGATACAGCGGGGAGCAAAACAAATTTCTCTGGAATTAAGAGGAAGATGACATTATTCACACAACATGTCATTAGGAAAGAAAAAGGAAAGACAGGTATGAAAGTATTTAAGAGTTTAGTAATTCTGCCAAGTGCTGAATGAGTGGTGGGTTGGTTGTGAAGGGTGTGCCGGAAGAGCATATTTGCAGGAAGAATTGCATGTGCAAAGGCCCTGAGACAGGAAGAATAAGATGTTCCTCCTCTCATTCCTCAAAGAACTGCATAGAGGACCAGAAGGGATGAGGAAATAGTCATAGACCCGATCCTTTGCAGCTTTGTATATGACTTTGATTTAAAATGTAGACATTGAAAAAAGTAATAAAATGCAGACATAAAAAGGAGAGGGTTGACTAATCATGAAATAAGACATCCTGTCATTTAACTGTAGATTGATTTGAGAACATCTTTTGCATACAAAATAAAAGTCAGTTTATGGATCAAGCCAGTTGTTCAAGGCATTTGATATTTGGTAAATAATATTAGAAAAGAGACTGAGGACAAAAGTAATCTGCCCTTCTGAGGTTTAGTTATCCCTGTAACACTTGCTGTTACTTCCTTGTGTGTCATTTACTTGATACATACTTTGGTTATCACTCAGTAACAATGAATGTATTGAATTTTTTTAAGGGCCGAGAAGCAATGGAGTGGGTAATACATAAATTAAACGCTGAGATTGAAGAATTGGCAGCTTCAGCAAGAGGAAGCATAAGGACACCAATGGCTGCGGCCGCATTTGTAGAGAAATGATAAAGAAAGTTGGTTTACAGCACCGGGTCCCCCAGGTCTCTCCAAGCTGACAGTATATTTATTTGTTATTTAAAAAACAGCTATATTTTAGGTAGAATGTTTTTTGATAAGCTGGAATGAGACTGTGATTTTCATCAAAACAGAGATACAAGGGTTCTAAATCACAGGGATCATCTGATGTTAGTATGACTTGAAATGACTACTTGTTAGGGTTCTAGTATTTGTGAAAATGTAACCATTTTTTAGAAAGTACTTGGAAAAAATTGGTATGGACAGTGAGTCTTCTTAAGGTAGTGTTAAAGCTTTTCGGGCATTGGGACTTCACCCGGCTGTGGACCAACCCCAGAACAAAGCAGAGCCGCCCCTTATGTGTACACAGCTGCTCTGCTGCTGCTGCAAACTAGAACTATGTGAGGAACTCCCTTTAAAAGAAGAAACTATAGTTGTAAAAAGACATTAATTTGTATAAAATAACTCGCTCTGCTAAAAACCAGTGTTTTGATTTGGTACTTAAATGGTATTTTTGGAGTGAAAATTATCACTGAAGTAATATGCAACTCCAACAGAAATAATATTTTATTGTATTAAAGAGTACTGTATTGGTTTGCCAAAAGTTTTGTAACTTAGGAAAGGGATTACTTTCCTTGGGTTTGTACTTCATGACAGCACACTGTACCATGGGCAGGTTATGCTAACTAAAAAAATAAAGTCATTACCTGATTTTCGCAGCACTCTTAAACTGAACACTTAACACTTAAACAGAAGAACAGCTGTTCACATCTTTTAGCATTTCACATTTACTTAACTTACAAATTGCCATGTGTCGGAATCATGGTTTTGTAATTCCTAAGGCATGATATGTCAGGTTATTGGAATATAATTACTTTTTGAGGTAATTATGACCACAAAACATCTTTTTACCATGAGGAGCTGTATGTCCTTTGAAATTACTCGAATGATGTCTGGACCTGAAGCATAAATCTCAATGTTTTTAATAGTATGGTGGCACGGTGGGGGTGATGGGGGAGCAAAGTGTGGAATGGGGAAGTGGAACCATCTATACATCGTCAACTGCACTGAAGGCTTTATTCATCAGAAATCCTTATTTTGGATAACAGTGGCTGCAAGTGGAAAACAATCCAGAAAATGTATTTTGTTTAGTATTTTGTACCGGGCAGTTAACCACTAAATGATATCTTTGGGGTACTTGGAAGTATTGTATACTGTTTTTGTTAGAAGGTGATTAGCTTTTGCCTTTAGTTTACAGAGCTGAATATGATCAACTTTTAGTTGGGTTTCCTCTGAAGAGACCAGTTAATACATATAAACCACAGAAGCAGTACCAAACTTTTAAAATTAGTGTTTTTCTACTTAAAATATTATGTGGCTTATGAATTCTTAGGACATTTGTAAATTATGTTAAGTTCTGATAAAGTTTGTTATTTTTTTGTAACCAAAAATGGTTTTTACAACTAAAATATTATTTCAGCTAAAAACAAAGTGCTAAGTACATATTAATATTTGACAGATTTGTATAATTTGTGTAAATTATACTTGTTCTAAAAAAAGGTATAATGCCTATCGATAAATTATTTCTAAGCCAACCTTTGTCATATCTTTCATTGGATTTTTTTTACTCTGATCTGATGATAAAACATCTGTAAATTTTCATTTTGCAATGTAGTTAGCTACATCTATCTGAATACTTGATTCACGGCTTCCATTAAAACAGGTTCACAGCAAGTTCATTGGAAAGGACTGAACTGGAATAAAGTGTTGAATTACAGCTGTTAAGCATCTTATCCTATTTAATATTAAGGCGAACTTAAAGAATTGAAACGGCTTTTGTTAATAAAGACTTCTGTTAACCATGGTTTTTCTTGACAATTCTTAACGTTCCAAGGCTAACCGCGGCTGTCTTCCTTCCCTCCGAGCGCGAGCGCGGCTCTCCGGCGGCCCCGCAGAGCTTCCGGTTACTTCTTTAGAATAACGAGAAGAGGAGAAACCCGAGTGCTTCCCTAAATCTCAGCTACTCGCGCTCGTCGACGAGAGCGCACACCGACACCGAGACCCCGGGCGACCTGGGCGCGGAGCCTCGCACTGCCCTTCAGCCCCGCCGCCCCTAGTATGGGTACCCGCGGCCAGCACCTCGCAACCCCACTGCCTCTGGCGAGGGCCGGTGAGCTTCCACGCCGGGGAAGGCGGGGCGAGAGGCGGTGACTGGCATGTCCTAGGCCCCGCCTCTTCCGCTTCTCCGGCCTGCCCTTCCTGCTGCTGGGCCATCCGATAGAGCCGAGGACGTTGCAGTTTCCTCTTGATTCGGTCCGTCTCGCCCTCTCTCGCGACACTATGGTGGCCTACTGGCGACAGGCTGGACTCAGGTAGGCCCCGGCCTGTGGAGGGAAGGGCGCCGGGAGCACGCCCGCGCGGCCCTGTGTCTGGAGAGCGCGGCGAGGGCGGTGACCCCCGCCTGGTCAGGCCGCCGCCGCCAAGATGGCGTCAGTGTGGACAACGCGCCGGTGGCCGCGCTCGGGGCCGTGGGGTCGCGGTGGCAGCGCCCAAGACCCAGAATAAAATGCCGAGGCAAATGTGGCCTGTTTTTACCCGAGGGGAGTTTTCTTGAATTGTGCTTGGTTTATGTTGTAAAAGCAACATAGAGCACGTAACTCGGTACACGGGGCGACAGATTGTTCTTGAGGTCATAAGCCACTGTTAACATTTGTGGCCTTCCCAACATCGAGGTGGAGTCTTATATAATGTTACATGCATTTTCATTTTTAGTTAATCACCATTGGGCTCAGGCTTGCATATCATTGAAGATGGGGGAAAGCCCCTTATTTGTGGAGAATTCTGCACAAAGGTGACTGGTGGGTTTGAGGGCGCTCAGGTGTGGTGCGCATTTGAGGACCTGGCCATCTGGCGTAATGAGGAGACGTTGGTCTAGTTGACACCGGACTTCATTGCTTCAGGGTAGCCTTGCTCCTTAGGCAACTAGGTGGAAGTAGCGCCTTTCAGTGGTAACATTCTGGGAGCATGTGATTATTCCGAGAACAAGCAAATTTTTGTAGCCTTGGAAGGATAGTCGTCTTACCTAATGCACTGCTTATTAAGCAGCCTACTAAGGGATCTATGCTTTTTCATGCTTCTCTTTTCTTCTGACCCCTTGCAGGGCAGGTATTATCATCCTTTCATTCTGTTGTTTTCACAAGTGAATAAACAAGCTAAAAAGATTGAATAGCCTGGAGGTCACCCAGTCAAGAGTGGAAACAGGCATTGGAACTCATACCTATGATTCCAAAAACAAATTTGAAAACATGAGAAATAGACACCCACCACCTCCTCTTTCCTATTTTCAAAAAATTGGAAAAGTAATGTGACATTTTTGAGGAAAATAAGATGCTGATGAGAATCCATCTACCAAACAGGAAGCAGGCTTTTTGATATGTTAGAATTGATGATGCTGTGTGAGGACTTGCAGTTTAATTTAGAAACCTTGATTAGGAAGTATTTTTAATGGCAAACTTGTAAAATAGAATCCATTATTCTCCAAAACCCTTTAAATAACTTCCCAGAGAAAGAAATGCTATGATTCAATTTTTTTTCCTTTAATTATATATGCCTTGCTTTGTAAGAATGGCACAATTAAAGGAAAAGGTTTTAAGTAGAGAAATGGGGGGGGTTATTCATATTATGGTCTGTATTAACATTTTGGTCTCTTTCATTTGCTGTGGGGTTTTTTTAAATATTCATTTTAAATTAATATACACTAAAGAGACAAAACAATACCAAGAAGAAAATCAGGACCACCTGTCCAAGCACCAACTAATACTTTGACACATTTCTAATTTTTTCTTTTTATAGAATAATTTTGGTATTAGTAACTTTTAAATATATTTTTTGCAATAATGTACAGCCAAACCAAAATTAAAAATACAGAAAAACAACAGCACAGTAATAGTTGTCTGGTAGGATTCTAGTTAATGACTGATACTGTATCTTTCATTGTCTTCCAGCTACATTCGATACTCCCAAATCTGTGCAAAAGCAGTGAGGGATGCCCTGAAGACAGAATTCAAAGCAAATGCCGAGAAGAGTTCTGGCAGCAGCATAAAAATTGTGAAAGTGAAAAAAGAATAATCAGTAAGTTACTGATTTGTTTAGAAAGTTGTATTTTTTTTAACCTTTTAATAATGTTGTTTATGCACTAATGTGAGTAAGCAATCATTTAGGAAGAAAGAAAATGACATAATACTACTAACTCTTCAAAGTGTATGCTGGGAATAAGTGAATACAATTCTACTTTGAGTTGCTTTAGTTCTATAGACAATTTTTTTATTAGTTTTATTAGTTTTATTACTATGTTTGCAGTACATAATATTTCATTGTAGGGGATTGGTACATGTACATAACACAGATTCATTTATTTATTTTACAAGACCTTGTAAAGTTAATTATCATATATGCAGATTGAAAACCAGAATAATAGACCAAAGAACATGTAAAACATGAAGACAATTTTATATACAAAAGTTGCATTTTAAATTTTTAGAACACCATAAAAAAATGAAACTAATTTTAATTTTGGGTTCTGTCCATTTTTTTAGTCAGTGCATTTCAAAGTTAGTTATTGGGGTGATAATTTACAGCATATAGGTTATATAAGTCTCTGGACATGATAAAAGAATGTCCTTTCAGACCCTGACAACCAGAAATAATAGGCACATTGATTTTCAGTTCATTAAGCAATGCTTAGGTAAAGAGCCATCTTAATTTTAATTGAATCTGTTTCATTTGCATAAAATCAAGTAAGTTGGAGGAGAAACTCCCCACTTTTATAATTGCTGGTAGAGTTATGTAAGAGTTCGGGAGCATGAAAAATTAAAAGTTCTTTGCATTTTTTATTTCCCCACATCTGCCAATGTCCTTACAAATCACTACTTCCGAAACATACGGCTGCAGTTACAGGCAAGGATCCTGCTATTTGATCAAGCAGACCCTTGCTATTTTATCTGCAAAACCCTGCAGGGAGTCCTGTTTTGCTAAATTTATTGTGCTTTCAGAATGCTTAGTTCATTTTACTTCTGCAGAGATGTTAGTGAGGCGAGTTACATTCTCATGCAGTAAAAAGACAACCTCTAAAGTTGCTAATTTCAGGCTGTTGTGCGCCAATCTACAAAAGCTATTTGATCTCTCTTAATATTTTTACTTCAGAGGCAAGCAAGGAAAATTATCAGAGGGGTTTTCAGATTTAATTTTCTTGTTTTGCTTCTAAAAAGCCTCAGACCTGCAGTAGCACAGAAACATGATAAATATTAATCCTTTGGCAGCTTGTGGTTATGAGCAATTTTCCTGATTGGAACTGTCTCCCTGCAGCACTTTTCATTTTCATTTTGAATTAGTAAATATTTTATTACAAGTCTAGAGATGTGGTGTTTGGAATTTAGCCCTTTTCTGGGTATTCTTTGTCTAGTCTCATAATTGCTGGTAATGAGACCTGGTTTGATGTCGGTGGTTCTGTTGCAGCCATGAGCTGACAGAAGCCTCTCTGCAGTGGTGCGGTGCCAGACACTCCATCCACACTCCGACAGTGGCGTGTCCATGGGGTCAGGAAGTTCTGTCCAGCTCCTGCAGTGCTGGTCCCTCTTGGTAATGCTCTGCAGCAGTGGGCACCCCACCTTATTCGCACAGGGGGATTTTAGTGTCTTTTAAAGGCAAAGTTGCTTTTTTGGTTTTGTTTTTGCAGTTGGGAAACTGCCTGGCTGAAGCCGTTCACACAGAGCCTCAGCTCACACACCCTCCCGTGTGAATTGCAGCCACACTTGTTACAGTTCACTATAAGGAAGTTATTTTTCTTATTCATGTTGGATGTTTAAAAGAACCAGCTGGCACCTGTCATATTTTCTTTTTTCTTCCTAGACCCTGATTAAAGCTTGAAATGCTACATTTTCCCATGAAGATGTGTGGGCACATGTTATGGCAGATTGAAAGCAGTGTCACTTTGTGGAGGGAAAAATACCTAACTTGTTCATAAATTAATGATGCCAATAAACTGATATGTGGTTCACTGCTACTGGTAGCTTTTGTTTTCTGTTGGGACCTTTTCTTTATAGAAGTTACCTGCAAAACTTCATGATTCGAACTATATGAGGCACGGCTTAGAAAAGGAGGGAAAGACATGGGATATTTAGTGACCAAAAAGATACAGAAAACATTCTTTAAATATCTCAAAATAGAAGATTCTGTTTCTCTTGATAATAGTTGATGATCAAAATTAGACAATATCACTGAGGCTTTGTTGTCCCTAATCTTTGAATTGCAGAGTCACATTAGAATAGTTCTGTCGTTATCTTCCTCTAAGTAGTGCTGCTTAGCCAGTAACCTAAATGAGAATAATTACTAAAAGCTTACATTAAAGGATAACTGCTAAATTAAATTTAGCAATCATAGCACTTTTTGTTTTTGTGCAACTGAAACCTATAGAAAAGAACTATTAACATTAGAATTTATGCACAAAGTGCTTGTCATGTTGACTTACAGATGAATGTATTTCCTGGTAGCATTTCTCATAGGAAATGAGGCAAAGCTGTTGAACACCTTGTTTATTGAGTTGATGGCTGAGTTAAAATCTGAGATGTTTGCAGGTCTGGAGCACAATGATTAGAACAGTTTTGTGATATTTTAATGGTTACTCATTAAGGATGAAAAATTGTTGCAAGTGATTTTGGTTTTACTTTTTAAACTTGGAACCTTTTGGCTAAGTAAAATATTGCAAAGTTAATTGCACATTTTAACTTTTTAGAGAAGGAGAAATGAAACAGGAATTTTTGAACAATTCTAGAGCCAGTTCTTTCCATGGTACTTAAGCTGACAATAATTCATCAGGGCTGAGGATGAGGCTGAGGAAAATGTCTTTGTTCTCAGTCTCTCGGGATGACTCCAGCCCCCAACACTTGATCTACAGGTTTCACTGAATTCTCAGTACGGGGCGCGAGGGGGCCAGTTTGCTGGACAGCAGCAAGTCAGGAGAGCCCAGAGTCACCTTGTCACGGCCTGCCATCCTGCTCGCAAGCTAAAGCACCCGAGTTCAGCTACAGTTCCCAAGATTGAGGTACTAGAAAATATTGTCCATTACAAAGGATAGGAATAAATAAAGTAACTAATGGGCAAAGGGATAAATTATTTCCAAGCAAGTAATTTGAGATAAGTCATTTATTAGGGAAGCAGATGGGATAATTAGAGGTGAGACTTAGGGACAGTGCTTGCGTTATGAAAAGGATTAAAGTAACTGAATAAAAGACAAAATTTACTATCCACCAAAGATTCTTTGAGGTTTTAAAAAAAATCCTGAACTAATACTGTGATGAAATAAACTGCAACTGGCACCTCAGAAACATGCAGGACAACTACACAATAAGAAGACCCCAATCACTGAATTGTGGACATTTTGCTAACTAGGAGGATTTTGGTTAAGAGTCAGTTAATCTTTCTCTTCATGTAGCATCCTTGTGTGTGGAATGAAGGAATTGGACAAACTCTCAAACTCCATAATCCTCTCCCAGTCTCTCAGAGACCAGTGTCACCATAGCAACCATACCGCTAAAGGAATAAGCTCTTCAAAATCAGGGAGAGAGTTGTCTGGGCTTCTAGTCTGTTGTTTTAATCTATTTGTACCACACAAAAGAGTAGGATGGTGAGATGCATTTTGAAATATTTTTAACTAAAATTAATCAGTCTGGGTAGTTAGGTTCCGAGAAGGAATTTAGTCTGAAATAAAGCAATTTAGCCATTTAAAATTGAATTTCTTTGTACTTTAATGATTACTATTGAGCAAACAAGTCTTCACAGTAATATAAATCAGCATAATTTTTTTTTGGAAGATTTAAGTCTATATCTTTGCTTGCATCTATTTCATTGCCTTTTTAAATTTGAGAAAGTGCCAGAGAAACCATACGTATAAATTCTTACCTAATCACAGATTGTCTTTTTAGCACCTAAGGAAGTTATTTCAATTAAGTGCATAGATGCAGTTTCTTACTAAATCTAGTGCTTCTTGAACCACACACAAATAGTGTTTAAAACGTTATTTTGTGCTTGTTTAATTTGGTAAATAGAAAGCTTGTCAGTGAGACCCGCAGCAAGTCCTAATTCTCTCGATGTGCATCTGTTATTTCCTCATGATCTCATGTGAAAAGAGAGAAGGTTTTCAGAATGAGCACCTCGCCATCTACCTGTTCCTTTATTATTGCCGATTACAAAAGCAAATCAGGACATGAGACCCTAGTTACCTGCAAGTAAGTATTTCAGAAGTGAGGGGCAGTGTTTTCCCAGTACTCGTTATCCACGATCTGGTAGGATCACACAGTGGTCGTTCTAGAAGGGCCATCCCGACCTGGTACTACAAATGGTGGGAGCTGTGCTGCAGGTCGTAAATAGGTGAACCTTAATGAAGAAGTTATGGATGATTTGATTATGCTCTTGTGTATTTGGTCCTGTTGTAATGTGAGCAGATTAAAATCATGTAATAGTCAAAGCTGTGTCATCATGCAAACATTTATGGCAACTTGTGCCAATTAATTTGAACTTTAAAAGTTCCCTAATGAGATGATGCCCTCTGTCACCAAGAAGGGCACTGCAGCCGTTTCTGCCTGATTCCTGTTAGAGTGGTTGCTGAGTGTGTAATGTGCCCTTTCTCAGAGGGCTTAGAGGCTATGGAGCATGGCGGGATGGGAGGGCAACGGCTGCTGAACAGAAAGTGAACATTTCCAAATCACCTTTAAAAGGAAAACCAAAGATGATTATTAATGAATCTCTAGAATCTAATTCTAGCAAGAAATTAAAATATAAAAATATATATTCTGAAAATGGTTTCTCAGAGGATTTTTCAGTGAATTGGAATTACTCAGTTTTGTCTGTCTTCTCTTGCTTTTTGTGTCTTGGCCAGGGATTTCTGTGGAGAAGGCTCTGGCCTTCCTCTCTTCCCTGACGCCTGCAGTTAGTGCACTGAGGGGTACCCAGGGTCTACACTGGTGACTGAGGGACCCTGGCCCTCCTTTCCCTCAGCCCTGCAGCTCCCTCATGCTGGCCCGTCATCTGGCTTTTCTGGAGGCTGCAGGCAGAGGAAGGCAGGCTCTGGCAAAGTGTGAGAAGAGAAAGAGGTAGATGTAAGAGACCTGGCAGCCCAAGCGTGCCTGATCCCCATCAGTGCTGCTGATGAAGGTGGACATCAACTGAGCAGCTCTCTGCAGACCTGCTCATCAGGCCAGACCCTGGGGCAGCATGGGGCTGGGCATGCAGTCAGTCCTGGGTAATACTCGGGGTCAAAGGCAGTGTTTCATAGCCCTCTTTGCTGTTACAGAGTGAAGTGCACGGGTGCGCGTTGCATATCAAAGCAGTGTGGTTAGTACTGGCCAGGGACCCCATTGCCATCAGCCATCCCACCCTTCCCCAGTGCCCCCCTCAGCAGAGCCACAGCACACAGCAGGCCCCAGGGCTGAGGACAGACAAATCCGGGTGACCCTCACGGCTCAGGCTCCTTATCTTCTCCCATATCCACCTCCTCCACGACCTCTTCGTTTTCCTCCAGAACCGCTTTGGCATCTTGAAATTGTTGATACTCAGACACCAAATCATGGATGTTCCTTTCGGCTTCCCCGAATTCACTTACGTCCATCCCTTCGCTGGTGTACCAGTGGACAAAAGCTCTCCTTTTGAACATGGCTGAGAAGTGCTCAGAAACCCTGCTGAAGAGCTCTTGGATGGCTGTGTTGTTGCCTATGAAGGTGGCCGCCATGTTCAGCCCGCGGGGTGGGATGTCACACACAGCCACCTTGACATTGTGAGGAATCCACTCCACAAAGCAGCTGCTGTTCCTCCTCTGCACAGACAGCAACTGTTGATCCACTTCTTTGGTGGACATCTTCCCCCGGAAGATGCAGGCCACAGTCAGATAACGGCCGCGGCGTGGGTCACAGGCAGCCATGGTGTTGCGGGCATCAAACATCTGCTGGGTGAGCTCAGCCACAGAGAGGGCGCGGTACTGCTGGCTGCCCTGGGCTGTGAGTGGAGCAAAGCCAGGCATGAAGAAGTGCAGGCGAGGGAAGGGCACCATGTTCACCGCCAGCTTGCGCAGGTCTGCGTTGAGCTGGCCAGGGAATCGCAGCGAGGTGGTGATGCCGCTCATGGTTAAGGACACCAGGTGGTTGAGATCCCTGTAGGTGGGCGTCGTCAGCTTCAGGGTTCGGAAACAGATGTCGTAGAGCGCCTCATTGTCGATGCAGAAGCAGGCGTCTGTGTTCTCAATCAGCTGGTGGATGGACAGCACAGCATTGTAGGGCTCCACCACCGTGTCGGACACCTTGGGCGAAGGCATGACGCTGAAGGAGTTGAGGATGCGGTCGGGGTACTCCTCTCTGATCTTGTTCATGAGCAGAGTGCCCATGCCTGAGCCTGTGCCCCCGCCCAGGGAGTGGACAATCTGGAAGCCTTGCAGGCAGTCGCAGTTCTCACTCTCACTCCTCACCACGTCCATGACAGTTTCTATCAGCTCAGCGCCCTCAGTGTAATGGCCCTTTGCCCAGTTGTTGCCAGCCCCAGAGTTACCTGTGGTAAGAAGGTCGAGAGGGAAAGGTGAGGCAAGGAAGGTGCCACTAGGAGGCATCCTAATCCCTTCCAGGTAGAACCTTCTGCAAAAACCTACCATGGACAAAACTGTCGGGTTGGAAGAGGGCTCCCAACTTGCTGGACCGGATGCTGTCCATTGTCCCAGGCTCTAGGTCCACCAGCACGGCTCGGGGCACATACTTTTTACCTGAGCAGAAAAACAGGAAGAAGTCAGCAAACTGTTGTTTTTCTAAAAGTTAATGTTTCATCAAAGCGAAGCCTTGTAATACTGGTCTAAAAAGCACAAGTATTCTAGAAAGGACCCATTATCTCCCTGGCCCTCACAGCAATCACACAGTTCCATAAATACCTTTAAGAAATACTTTCTCATCATTGCTTTGCTCATCGTATTGCCAATAACAGATTCTGCCCCTTATTGTGCATGAGTCAGGTTATCATTTACAAATGGAAAAGGAGGGGAAGTGCTTTACGGCCTGTGACCTCTGACCTCCCCCGCCCCATGCCTGCCTGGTGAACAGGCCTGAGGACCCCAACTCAGCATCCATGTGTCCAGCCTGTCCGCCTGCTCCTTTGACACTTGGGTCACATGAGCCTTTGCTTCTCTGCCAACCGCCAGCCCTACCGTAGGCTTCGTTGTAATACACGCTGACTCGCTCCAGCTGCAGGGCGGAGGCCCCGTGCTCATTCCCCATGCAGTCGATGCTGTGCTCCTCGCCGATCATCTCCCAGAACTGAAAGCAGGAAGAGGGGCTTAGGGCAGAGCAGGGCCAGGAAGGCGTGGGTCTGCCCCCATAGAGGTGGTGCCTCAGGCCCATGCCTGGGGGCGGGGGGGGGGGCACACCCACCCAAGCCAGTGTTCTTATTCCTTTGCATAAATGACCAGGGCCTAGTTCACTTTCCCTCTACTAAGTGTGAATATAAAGACTGCATTTTCTGCAGATGAAAACAACACTGAGATTTCACCTCACCCCAGAAAGAATGGCTGCTATCAAGAAATCAACCAGTAACAAATGCTAGCGGGGGTGTGGGGAGAAAGGAACCCTTCTCCATTGTTCGTGGGAGTGCAGACTGGTGCAACCACTGTGGAAATTAGTATGGAGATACCTCAAAGAACTAGGACTAGAGGTCCCATTTGACCCAGCTATTCCCCTGCTGGGTATCTTCCCCAAAGAATTAAGAGAATCATACCACAGTGATATATGTGCACCCATGTTCATAGCGGCACAGTTTGTAATAGCTAAAGCTTGGAAGCAGCCCAAGTGCCCATCAGCTGGAAACTGGATAAAGAAAATGGGTTTTTTTTTAAAATGGAGTACTACTCAGCTATAAAGAACGAAAAACTAGAGTCATTTAAAGCTAAATGGATGCATATCGAGGCCATACTCTTAAGTGAAATAAATAGGACACACATGTGTAAATACCGAATAGTTTCACTAGTGTGAGAAACTGAAAGTGTAAACAAGGGTTAAAATGATTAAAATTAATAATTGATAATTTGAAATAGGACAAAAGGTCCAAAGATGAAGGAGTGAAGGGAGGGGAAGGGGAAAGGAAAAGAGGGAAAGGAAAAACTATAAGAAAAGAAAAAAAAAATGGAAATGAAATCTATGTAAATAGGGAAGGGTGGAGGGGGTGAAGGGCGCACAGGTAATGGGGAAAAATAAGAACTAAGATACATCACTTATAGGTACAAGCACCCAATGATAAATGTAAACATATTGTATACCTAAAATGTACTAATAAAAGAACTAAAAAAAAAAGACTACATTTTCTACCCACCTGAACTCCTGAAGTAAAATGTCAGCCACATAAAATATTAAATTGGATTTTTTCTCCTATTAAATTCAAGCCATTATACACATTAAAGCTGTCATTTTGAAATTGTACATCAGACAATGTATCTCTAGTTTTGCCTTGTAGTGCTCCAAGCTGTTAAAGTGTAGATCCCATTAAATGAAAATAAACTGAATTCTTATCTGATTTCACAATAATACCTCATTTCACTTTGGGAATTTCTTTTCATGAGGTTTTCTAAAAAGCCCATAAGCAAGACCTCTGTGCATGATTTTAAGTAATGTGCATTTTTTATTTCAGGCAGATACGTAATTCAAAATTATAGAGAGCCATTCTCTTATAACTTTAGAACATACGGCAGTTCCAATCACATGTACAGTATTTATTAGTATAACTGTGTGTCAGGCTCTTAATATGGAAGTTGTTACTGGGATGACCCCTTTTGATCACACATTGAAGTGCAGTGAAAATATATTCACTTATGTCAGAATCCCAGGGGTACTTTCCCAACCATGTCTTACAAATGATGCCTCTGCTCTGGCCATAGTCTTCAAAATAAAGCTCTATTTTATACCTAGCTACCAGCACTGTTCAGGATATGGAAGAGTAAATAAATTGAAGTTCTGAAACACAATAAGTGCGTCTTAAAGCTTTTGTAACCCCAAATAAGTCACTCTGGGGCTCTAACCATTAGGCAGCACAGTCCCTATCTCCATCACGCACTTCCTCTCAGGGCCTCTCTCCATGTTATCTTTCTGTGTCAGAGTAGGGGACTTGCCCACTGCTTCTCAGAATGTTTGCTATGAACATTTGTCACTGCCAGGCAAAAGTGACAACAGCTTTCCAAGCAGTGGTATTCTTTGCCCCATAAAATTAAAAGACCTGCCCTGACAGACCTGAGTTTTTTCATAGCACCACTATTCACAATAGCCAAGAGAAGGAAACAACACAAACACAAATGCCCATCCACAGATGAAAAGGTTAACAAAATATGGCATGCGCATTCAGTGAAGAGTCATTCAGTGAAGTATCATTCAGCCTTAAAATGGAATTCTGATACCTGCTACCACAGCATGGTTGACCCTTGACAACATCATGCTGCTTGACGTATGCCAGTCTCAGAGAGACAAAGACTGCACGATTCCACTGAAATGAGGTACCTAGAATGATCAACTCTTAGAGAAAGAATGGTTGCTCCCAGGGGCCTTAGGGACCGAGTTCCAGTTTTGTAAAGTGAAAACCATTTTGGAGATTGGATTTAAAACAGTATGAATATACTTAACACTACTGAACTGTACACAAGACAGTTTTAAAACAAATTTTATGCAATATGTTGTTTTTAAAATTTTCTTCCTTTTTAAGGCTGCATAATATCCCATTGTATGGATAGACCACATTTTGTTTATCCATTCATGCATCAGAAAGATTTCTATCTTTGAACTACTGTGAGGAATGTTGATGTGGAAAAAATGAAGATCTTCTAACGTAGATGTTTTAAAACCTTATTTTAATGCAATTCATACTAATAAAAGTAATTTCAAAATAGCAAAGAGAACGAGTTAGATACGTGTCACAGTATATTGTTCAAGTTACAATTAGGACTGGAGATCTTAGGCTATAACACCAGCCTTCTCAGTAGTAACCAGCTGAATCATACTTGGAAGACAAATTTAAGCAGAAGGGCAAAGTAGAGACAAACTCATTTAAAATATCTCAGAGGGTATGTTTTAATTATTTCTGCCACTGTGCACAAATCCAATATTTTGGGCTTTCCTCCCTAAATTTTTATTGCATACTAAATAAAACTGTATTCTTTCTGTGTAACATAAACATGGAGTGGGGAGGAAAAGACTATATTGATGTGGTGTAAAAAATTTTCCAACAAACTTCAGAAAACTTTTGAGATACATTACTGTTTTTAGATATGAAAGTTAATTACTAAGATGATAAAAGTAAAATGGTTGACACATGTATTATCCACCTGTAACCTCAGACAAGAGTACCATTAATTAATTGACCTTCTAAGTCCTTAATATTCCTGTATTTGTGTAACTAAAGACCTTGTAATAAGCTGTATAGTATGAGCATGGTTCTGCTCGGCTCCTCCTCTTCCCTGCTCACCTGGGGCATTTTCTCGCTGGCTACATCTGTGGGCCACAGGAAGCTAGTACAGTAGTACTGGTACTAACAGTCAGGCTTTACCTACCTTAGCTCCGATCTGGTTGCCACACTGGCCAATCTGAATGTGCACGATTTCCCGCATCCTTGCTTTAAGTCCAAGGGTAAGATCTTGAGATGCTCAGACTCTGGAAAGGGCCACCGTTCACCAAGTGTGAGCTCGGGACAGCTTCAGGCACTGCAGTGGTGAGAGCAGCTGACCAAGCTACCCTCCTGCTGGCCCAAGGGTGTGTCCTGCCCAGAGTCCAGCCCACACTCTTCCCTGCTGTCTGCCTATCACCCTTCTAAGGGGGTGTTTTCTTCTCCCAACTCAATATTGCCCCATCATTTCCTAGTCTAAGCATAAGACCAAGGTTGTCCCTGGAAGGTGCCCAGGGCTGGCACCACTCACAGGCCCTGCCATGGTGGCCTCTGCACTGGCACTGGCTGAGGTGCCCCTGTGAAGCCTGCCCATTCCCCCTAGTGAACAGAAACACTGCGAAAGGTCTTCCCTGTCTGAGCAGTCATCTCACCTAACCCATCACTTGGGTTCTTGTCTCCCGCTGTGTTTCCTCAGGAGCCATTTGAAAGCCACCGGTGGCACCAAGGTGACATTGAGGGGAACATAGGTGAACACTATATTTTTAGATCATAAACTTTAATGTTCATAGAAAGATAGTCCATATAATAGCAAAACAATCATGAGAAAAAATTTCCTTTTTGAACTTGACGGAAGTTGTGAAAGTGATGTGATTCTTAAGAGCTTCAGACACCGTCATTAAGACAGAAGATCCAAGCTCGACAGCCTGGCATTCAGGCCTTCCCAGCCTGGTTGCAAAATGTCTTCCTGGCCCCTTTTCTAGACATTGGCCCTCAGAAACCCTGTGCTGTGACAGGCCCAGAGAAACGATCCCAGAGGACTTAGACCCAAAGATAGCATGACACTGGACCAGAGCCAGAAGCCTGAAGGTCCTTGCACCCTGCCCTGACCGGAGCTCTGGATCTCTGTGGACGGAGCTGGGGACCCTCTAAGTGCAGGCTGAGCCTCGCCAGGTCCTGCCGCATGAAATAGGGCTTCTCTAAGGGACACCATTGGGACCCTTGTCAAACTCAAATGTGACCTGAAGATGGAATAATGCTATTGTACCCATTCTATTTCTTGATTTTGATCACAGGCAGGGGTTCCATACGTGGAAGTTCTTGTGCCCAGGAGATACTCCAGTGCATGGCCCTTCGGGGTCCTGTCCTTAGGATGCCAGCAGCTCACTAAGACAATCGCAGTGAGGTGATGAGTGTGGAGAGGGCCTCTGGCAAATGCAGGAAGACAGAACGGGGCGGGGGGATCTTTGTAAAGTTTGGCGAGATCAGTACTTGGTGGTGTTTCCATAGGTTTGGAATTGACCTGAATGACCACATAATTCTCAGATGCTTCTGCCCCACCCAACAGGGGTAAAGAGGAGAATGTGTAACTCAGTGAGGACACATTCATTTCTATGTGCTCCTCAGGATTTCTCTCAAATGCAGAAGTGCACGCAGAGCGACAGTGGAGCTTCCCCACAAGGTGAGCCTCTCTTCTCTCACCCCTCTCCTCCCTCCCGGCAGGACACGGCCCCTTTCTCTCTTCCCTCTCAGTGGGATCCATCTTCCAGAGCCCTCAAAGCTCAAAGGCAGCTCCACGACTCCCTCACCAGAGACCCCTCCCCACACTCAGGGAGAGCGCTTAAGTCCGAAGTGGTCACAGGTGGTCCTGTTTGCTAATTGCTTCTGCACATGCCTTATCTCCCCACCAGCCACATCCCCTCTGAATCCCCAAAGTGCCCGATACGTAACAGGGCCTCAGCAAATGTTTGTTGAGCGCACACGGACAGCTGGGTGCATTGGAGCAGCAATGGTCAGAACGGCTAGTTTTCTTAAAGCCAATAATGTATTTATTCAGGAGTTTGACCTTCTAATGGTCAGGTGGGGACATAGTACTCGAGGACATTTTCCTCCATCCCTAAGAGGTGGTCTAGGCTGAAAGTCTAAACTGTTCCACGAAACCTGGCCTTCAGGAACAGATTGGAGGGAAAATAGCCACAGTGCGCTATTATGGGAGGCTATGACCGTGGCGCCCTGGCCTCTGGGGCAGAGCAGCTGAAAGGGACCGGTGTGGCCGCATCCAGCTCTCTGTGGGGACCACTGGCTGGGCTGGAGAGCATTTTTGATCCCTGCAGTATGAGCAGGACCCAGTGTGCTGTCCCCACTGCCCGGCACATTCCTCTTGGCCATCTCAGTTTGCTCAGGGAGGAAAAAGCCAGGTTTCCAGATTGGTCTTACAAGGCTTTTCTGTTAATGGGCAGTTGGCAAGGGGGGAGCCCTGTTTGCTTTGATTCCTGTATCGCCAGCAGTGTTTATTCAGTCTCAGCCAGGCTCTCAGCTTCAGACGCAGGGCTGCAGAGAGGACTGCGCAGGGCAGAGACCAGCCAGGGGCGCTGGCAGGTCCCGGGGCTGTAGCCCAGTTCTGCTGCCAAGGGGGCCCATCTTCTCCCTGACCCTGAACCCCTCTCATCTGTAAGATGGTGACAGTCCTCAGGCAGCATACTGCAAGCCAGCTTCGCAGCACAGAGGCGATGATGTGGCCCTCACACCTGTGAACAGGGGCTCCCGCTCAGCCTTCAGACACGCAAGGGCACAGACATGAATCTCAGTGCCTAGGGAGTGCACAGGGCAGGAAATGCTGTGTGTTTGAAAAGCAGTCCCTCCACCTTCATCAATAGGTCTTCCTATTGATGAAGGTCCTGTCCCTGAGGAGGGAGCTCTCTGATTCCCAGTGTAGTGCAGCCAGCGCGGTGAGTGTACCGTGCCACACCCTCTGACCAGCAGAAGTGGCCTTTTGGCAGGAAACGAGTGGGGCCCTGGAGAGGCCAGCATCGCCCCCAGGTCTGCTCCCCTGCCAGGCTGAAGGTGACCCCCGGCCCTGCACTGTGGCAAGTGTTGAGAAGCGGCTAGCTGTGATGAATGACAAAGTTGTTTTCTGCCCCTGGAGAGGAGCTGAGGCAAAGGCAGGTGAGCAGTGACAGCTCTCCAGGGCACAGCTTTGTCTGACATTGCCCATGAGGGCAGAGGACAGGAGCAAGAGCTCCTCTTGGCACGCACACACGGTGAGGAACCCGGGAAGCCGCTGCCGAGACACTGTGATTACTAACTAGCACCAGCCAACCCTCCGCCTGAGACCCTTCTCCTCCAGCGGGCTGCCACGGCCCATCATCCACAAGAAGACTGTGGCAGCAAGCCTTTTCCTGGATGACACTTAGGTCTATTATGAGACTGGAACCAAGAAGATAAGCCGAGTGTCACCCAGAACCCCCAATCGGCCACTTCCAGACTTCCCCAGGAGCTGTCCCCAGGCGCTGGATGGAGCACCCCATCCCCCCTCTTGGCAAATGAAATATAATTCAGAGAAAAACAGAATACTCAGAATTCATTGATTTCATCCGCCCCTGATCTTCCATTTCTGAGTACATTGAAGCTCCTCGAATAACTCTGAGAAGATTGTTAAATTATAGTGTTTGTTTGTGATTCAGAAGCAGAAATTTTTCCAAATGTCTTAGCGTGAAAATGACATCCAAGGGGCCATTCAGAGTGACTCAGTGGGTGTGGGCAGCCCCTCTGAGGAGCTGAGCTCCACTTTCTTGCACTCTGCTTCCTTGTGTGTTCTCTTCATGGCAAAGAAAGTTCTGGGAGGATGAATGAGTAACTTCAAAAGGAGAGGGGCTGGGAGGACATTGATGTTTCTTATGATGCCAGCTTCCCAAGCTGCATGGAGGAGTCTTCCATCTTCTGCCCCTATAGCTTAAACGCCATGGTGCTCAGACCCTGCTGCTGGCCACCCCAGTCCAGCCTGCAGCTCCAGGTCGTGGAAATGCCTGGCCATCCCTTAGGTACCTGAATAATATGCCTCCTAAGGTGTGACAGCACTGACTTACAGGAGGAAGCACGTGCGCACATGCCCTGAACTGCTTCGATGCTGAAGGTGACAGATGCACCAACCTTCTCAGTGGCATCTTCCTCATCTCCCCAGATGTGCCATTAATGATAACCAGGGTTCTCTGGTGAGGATGGAGATAAGCATACTACTGTTGGTAACTGGAGCCAAAAGCAAACAAAAATACTTCTTCAAACTCCATATTTGTCCAAGAACTCTGTTGTGTGAGTCTCCGAAATTCATTTGTTTGTCCAACAAAGATTAGCTGAGCGCTGTTTCAGGGGATCGGAGGACCTTAACAGAGTACAAGCAGGGGCCCTGCCCTCGGGGGTGTGGAGGGAACAAGGGCGCTAATTCCCATCCTGCTGCCAACCTATACACACTGTCCACAGGGCCTGCATACCACAGCCACCGCCTCTGAGCCCAGTGATGTCCCTGCACCTTGTAGAAGCAGAGACAGAGACTCAGAGCAAGTTTTCAGAGCCCTCCCTCCGAGGGAGGTGTCAAGTCTGAGGTGTCAAGAGGCAGGATGGCCAGATGGCATCCAGCAGGGAATCTCAGAACCCTCCAGTGCCCATCACATGCTCTCAGCCCTCTGTGGGCACCTCCCTGCCTCTCCAGCAATGGTCTCTCTCCACAGCTCCCAACAGACCACCAGGGCCACCTCCTTCCCAGCCGTCCATCCCCAAACCCCAGAGAGAGCTTACAAACACAAGTTAGCTCTCTCCCTCCACGCTTCTGAAGTGAGCAACACCCAGGGTAAAATCCAGATCTCTCCTGTGGCTGAGGAGTTCCTTCACTGCCTGGGCAGGGATGGGAAGTCCTGAGACAGAAGAAACCAGGAGAGGGCTCTGGGAGGGGAAGTGGACTGGAAGCTGTGGGCCTGCCTGGGGAAGGGTCCCTGGGCACCCATGGGGTGCTGCGCCCTCTGCAACCTGGTGGCTTGGCAGCTCCACTGAGTCTGCATGGCCTCCTCTGCTCATCGAGTCTTGTGGAGTGCTCGCTCACCAAGGCCTGGGCAGACCCTGTTCCTTCTGCATATTCTATGGCTGTGGCCTCATCATTCAATGCCAAGTCACAGGCTACTGAAGAGAATGGTCCAAATCAGACTGTCCAGGTGCGGCGTTGGTGGAATAGTGGTGAGCATAGCTGCCTTCCAAATCAGACTGTCCAGAGGCCCCCAGGAGCTAGGATTGCCCATTTTTCCATTTCCAAGCACCTTTAACTTCCTGGGCTTCTTTACATGTTCCTCCAGCAGAATGTTCTCTCCTCACAGCCAGGGACCTCGCTCAGTTGCTGTTCTCCGGAGCTGAAAACCTGCTAGGTGCTCCACAAATATGTACCAGGAGCCTGACTTTCCAATCGGGAATGATGGGGTGCCCCTTAGAAAGACTTCATGGGTGAGCTCATAGGTGGGCTGTATAGCAGGCTCCAGTTAGCGTGTTCTGAAGGGGACAGTTATGACACCAGCCTTGTGACTGGGCCCCCAGAGAACTGCTTTACTCCAAGCACGGGTGCACCGCAAGCCACGGCGCAGCCAGGCAGGAGTGTGAAGCATACTGTGCTTGGGGACAGTGGCAGGCTCGATTGCAAACCTGTGCCGTTCAGCCAGAAGGTCTTGTCTGTCTAGGCATCTGGAAGATGGCATGAGCTTCTGGCCATTGACCCAGGCTGTGCAGCTGGTGAGGAAACCACTGTGCCCTGCAGAGCCAACCAGCCTACCAAACACTGTCAGCAGCCATCAAAACAACTGCCATATCCAGGATGTGGCTCAACTCAGGAATGTGGAATAATAGGAAATGTCTGCAGCTTGCAGGGTGGGAGCCAGACAATGCAACATGAAGGAAGAAGGAGAGAAAGGATTTGGAGGTCACTGCACAGTAAACTAAAGCTCAGCATCCTTCCCCTCAGTTTGGGAGGGTGGGCTGGCTCTGGCCTGACTATAAAATACATGTGCTGTTCTTTATAAGGACAAGGGGAAAAAGAAATCAACCTTATTTTTAGAAATGAATGGGCTTTTGTGTCTGTAGCCTTGGATCATGCATTACCAAGAGATTTAATGGGATATCAAAAAAAAAAGATTAGATTAAAATCTGTTTCCAGGAGCCTTGTGCTCAGTGCACCTCTCTTGGATGCTCAGTCTCCTCAGCTGTAAAATGGGGGAGATAGCATCTACCCTCCCCACAGGGTGGTGCCAAGGATCAAAGGAGACTGCAAAGTCCTCTCAAACCTCGTTGGCTCAGCTCTGCTCTTAAGCAGCACCACGATCTGGAATGACTTAGTTACTTCCAAAGAGAAAAGCTCAAGGTCAGCTTCTCAGGCAGAGAGAGCTTTGCAGTGGTTTAGAGGAAGATATCCATCACCCACATACCCGCCCCAATCTGCCCAGGCCACACAGCAGAGGCACACACTGCACATGAAACAACAGCTCAAAGCAACACCTCCGCAGATGGGGCCTCGGAGGTCAGGAGGCATCTTGGCCCTGCCCTGAGCCTCCTCAGGTCCAGGCCCCGGTGAGAAGGTGAGTCACTGTGCACAACATGACTTCACGGCCCTGCAGCAATGTCAAGAGAGAACACGCCTTTGAGACTTCCAGGAGTCCTGGGGCTGCCAGGTAGGTGAGTCTGTTTGGAGAGAGATAAACTCCCCCTCCAGCAGTGGACCTCCCAGAGCAGCCAGTTCAACAGGTTCTCCAGATACAGCCACCTCTCCCGGGTGCCAGCAACCTGCTGGCTTTATCCAAGAACTTCTGGGCCAAGATCCTTCAAAACAGCAGCTCTAGAATGGAATCTGAGTTGGGTGGGTTGGTGGGTGACCCTGTGGTGATATATTTAGGAACCTCCCGGCAGGGTTCCTCCCGCACGATTTGAGGATCTCCCAATGGTATACTCAGCCAGCTTCTCAAAGCAGCCTGCGGGGTGGATGCTCACCCACTCACCCAGCGCCGGCAGGAAGGAATGCAGCCTGCATGCTCTTGGCTTTACCATGTCTGACATGTGGCAAGGGGCTGAGGAGGAAGACACTGAGTCACACCAAATCTCACTTCCCTCTCCTTGGCTTGAAAATCAGAGACACAAAGGACAGGACCCCTCCTTCCCCTAGTTCCTCCATCACTTTCTGAGTTCTGTGTTATGGAAACCCTAGAGGGCCAAACTCCAATTTTTAGAAAACTAATTTTATTGGTGCACTTTTGATATACATAATGATACGTTCATCATAGGAAATTTGTGCTTGTACATAATATAGCTTGAGTCTTCATTTTTCCTCGTTCCCCGCTCCCCTTTTCAACCCTTCCCCTCCTTATTTACAAAAGCTTTGTTTCCATTTTGTTCCTATTATTCTCTTTTTCCACTCCTTCTCTCCCTTCTCCTCCCATGTTCTCCTTCCCAGTTGAACACTTTCTTCCTACTTCCCAATATCTATCATCCACTTTGGTCCTTATTTACCCTTTCGGCTTCTCATACAAGAGAAACAATGTGCTATTTCACTTAGGAGTATGGTCTTAAGGTGTATCCATTCACCTAGAAATGCCTTGTTTATCCTTCTTCATGGCAGAGTAGTACTCTGTTGTATATAAAAACCATATCTTCTTTATCCATTGAACATGTGGCTGTTTCCAAGATTTAGCTATTACAAACTGTGCTGCTATAAACATGGGTGTGCATATATCACTGTAGTATGATGCTTTCAACTCTTTTGGGAAGACACCAAGAAGGGGAATAGCTGGGTCAAATGGAACCTCTCATAGTTTTTTGGTACCAGGAATTGAACTCAGGACCTCATGCTTGCCAGGCAGTCGCTGTGCCACTGAGCTAAATCCCCGGCCTTCATTGTAGTTTGAGGCATCTCCACACTGATTTCCACAGTAATTGCACCAATTTACACTCCCACCAACAGTGGAGAAGGGTTCCTTTTTCTCCACAGCCCCATCAGCGTTTGTTGTTGGTTGATTTCTTAATAATAGCCATTCTTTCTGGAGTGAGATGGAATCTCAGTGTTGTTTTAATTTTCATTTCTTAAATGATTAGTGATTTTGAACATTTTTTCATATATTTATTTGCTGTTTGTACTTCTTCATCTGAGAACTGTCTATTCATTTCAGATGCCCATTGTGGATTGGGCCTTTAAGTTTGGGGGGGGGGGTCTGATGTTTTTTTCAGTTCTTTATATATTCTAGATAGTAGTCCTTTGTCTGAGGAACAGCTGGCAAAAATGTTTCCCCACACTGTGAGTCATCTCTTCACTCTGCTGCCGATTTCTTTTGCTGTGCAAAAGCTTTTTAATAAAATGAGATCCCAGTTGTTGATTCTTTGCAATATTTCCTGTGAGATTGAGGTTTTATTTGTAAAGTCTTTGCCTACACCTACATCTCCAAGAGTTTTAACTATCTTATCTTCCGGCAGATTTTCGTGTTTCTGTTTTAATATTTAGATCTTTGATCCATTCCCATTTTAGTTTAGTGCCTGGTGAGAGACATGAGTAGTTTTAGTCTTTGGCATGTGGAAAGTCAGTTTTGCCGGCACCACTTATTAAAGAGACTATCTTCCAGGGCCAGGGATTTAGCTCAGTGGTTCTGCCACCTGCCTCAAAAGCATAAGGTCTGGAGTTTGATCCTTGGTATCAAAAAACAAAACAAAAAAAAAAAGAAAAAAGACTATCTTTCTTCCAGTGAAGGAATCTGGCCCCTTTGTCAAAGACAAGGCAAGGTGGCTGAGTTGTTTGTCCGTCCCTTTAACCTGTGTGCACTTCGAATCCACAGATAAGTTAAGCCTTGTGACTCTAACTCAGGAACCAGGACCGGGATGCTCTTTGTCCTCCATGACCCCCTGCAGTCAAGCAGGCAAGAGTACTGGTATCATCAGGCCCAGGGATGCATGATTAACAGGGCCCAGGCAGAGACCTTTGCCCTGTCCTTCACTGCCTGGTAAGGCGCCCTTCTGAGCTTGGGGCTGTAACTGGTGCCCATGGTGCAACCCATGCCTGTCGGAAACTTCCTCGGGAAGGAGCCCGGTGCTGAGGACCCCGGGCATCCTCAGGCCACCCCAGGTCACCAACGGTCCTGCACCGAGGATGCCATGCCATCGCCACAGCCTGTGGAGACCCCGGAAGAGAATCCCGGGCGTTTTCTAACCAGGCAGGGGAAGTTACTGTGTGGTCTGCTGATGGTGTCTAGTGCCCACGAGGAGCAGGACGGAGGGAAAAACTGCTCAATCGTGAAACGGAGTCTTCAGGGTCCCACTTCTGCCTTTGGGTCATTTGGTAATGAACAGTCTGGTTGGCAGGAAATCCTTCCAAGCATCCCTGGAAGTTGGAATACAGGGCTCGTGATTTATGAGCCAAGTGAAAACTTCCCCTTCCCCAAGGATCTCGGCTTCTTTCTCTGGAAAGATAATGGTCTCTCAGAAGGGCCGGGCCTTTGGGAAATGGGGCTCAGAAGGCCAGGCCAGGGCACAATCCTGTGGACATGCAGCCTCCGGGACACCCCAGGCCGCACTCCTAGAGGCCTGGCTTGGGGAGGATGCTGCGGCAGCGCGCATCCCCGCGCCCACCCCCGCGCCCACGGTCAGGGGTCCCCGCTCCACGACCTCGCGCGTGACCCGGCCTGCTGGGGGAGAGGAGCGGGGCCCCGGGGGGCCGGGCGGTCACGTGGCGGGCGGGCGGGGGAGGGCGGGGCCCGAGCGCGGAGTGGCCCCGCCCCGAGGGAGGGTCCGGCGCGGCGCCAGTTTAAGGGCCAGCCGGGAAGGCGGGTGGCCGGGCGTGGAGCGCGGGTCCGGCGCGGAGCATGGCGGGGCGCGGGCCGCTCGGGCCGCTGCTGCTCCTCTGGCTGCTGGCAGGCGCGGCGCGGGCCGCCCTCTACTTCCGCCGGGGCCAGACTTGCTATCGGCCCCTGCGGGGGGACCAGCTGTCGCAGTCGGGGCGCAGGTTGGCGCGAGGCCTTGCCTGGGGAGGGGAAGGCCCGTTTCCGGGGCTGGGCACGCACTTCCACCTTTTGGGGACCTTTCTTCCTTGGGGTGCCCGGAGCCAAGGTGCCTGCCTGCCTAGACCCTCAGAGGTCACGTCCCACGCCTCTGTTTTGGGGGTCACTTTTCACATCCTGAGGGAGCTGGGCCAGCCTCACCTCTCTGGCCTGTGGGTCCTGTCCCTGAGCCCGGCCTTGCTCGGGCAGCACTCCGGCTTTCCTCATTTGGGGGTGCCCGCAGCACTTCCGCATTCTGACTGCAAGGTCTGGGGTGTGAGGGGCTCAGGGGGTGACCCAGACCACGCTCCTGCATTTCGGGGAAGGGAGGAGGGCCCTGGCCCTGGTGGGGCGTCCCGACTGCCCCGCGAGCCCCAGCACTGACTTTGTGGTGTTGGTCTCTTCCCAGGACTTATCCCCGGCCACATGAGTACCTGTCCCTGTCGGATCTTCCCAAGACCTGGGACTGGCGCAGTGTGGACGGTGTCAATTATGCCAGCGTCACCAGGAACCAGCACATCCCCCAGTACTGCGGCTCCTGCTGGGCCCACGGCAGCACTAGTGCCATGGCAGGTGGGTGACCTGGGCCCAGAAGGCTTGCCGGGCTGCCTCCGCCCGAGGATTCTCTGCAGCATTCACCCTGGCCTGGACCCTCTGCAGAGGGACACAGCTGGGTCGTTCCGAGGGTCTCCTCTGGCCTCACCTGGCAAGGCAAGAAGGACAGGCAAGAATGGGAGCGAAGCTCAGGACAGGTGGCTCCCTGGTTGCCCTCCCTCTCAGATCTTGTGACTTCAGCCATTGGGATGGAACCAGAAAAGCAAAATCACTGTGCCCCCACCCTGTCCTTGGGGATAGGGAAGTGAAACTGCTTCTCAGCAGCAGTTCAAGTTCAAGATTGGTATTGTCTTGGGCTTGAGTGAGGCCTGCAGGCTGCGGCTCCAGCCTTATTCCTCACTGTCCCCAACCTGGCCACTTTCTTGTGTGGACCTTGATCTGGTCGCAGTGAGGGCAGGGAGGAGGGGATCTGGAGGCCACACCCTCCCAAGGGCTGCTCTGCCCTGGCCTGGGACAGAAGGCAAGAGCCCGGAAGCCCCAGGCCTGTCCACAGCACAGGGAGCGACCCTGCTAGTCCCGTGGCTGTCACGGAGTTCCCTGTCCCGAGGAGGGACTTGCCCCAGCCGGGAGTTAGGCCGGGGGAGAGCAGGTGCTGTCTGCTCCCCTGGTTTGGTATCTCTCCGGCCAGGCCTGTTGTAGGTGTGGCCTGTGTTGAGAGGATTAGCAGCTGTACTCAGGCACTGGGGCCGGAACTCCTGTGTGCACCATTTTATTTAAACCACCTAGCTGCCGTGACAGCACTGAGCAGGTGAGGAAGCAGTCTCTTTGGTATGAGTGACAGCTGGGATTCGAGCTCAGAAGCCTAGGATCAGCTGTCGGGGGAGGGTTCCTGTCTGGGCTGGGGTCTGTGTCCCAGAGCTGACCGGCTCTAGCTGTGGCAACTGGCAGAGTCTCCTGGTGGCCTGGTTCCGTATCTCGGGACTGGTGAGGAGCCCTGTGAGGGCCAGAGTGTTACTTCTGACCCCTCAGGAAGGAGGAGGAAGGGGCTGAAGACCCCTCTGACTGGGTCTGGAAGGCCAGGCCAGGCAGGCAGGTAGAGTGGGGCTGGAGGTGGAGGGCCACCCAGCAAGGGCAGGGCTGACCCTGGGGAAGTGAAAGCCTCAGTGGGGTGGCGTGAGGATGACAGAGAAGGCGCGAAAGGTCCTGAGGGAGTCATGTGGCCAGAGTCACATGACTGGAGATTCCAGTGTAGGGAGGAGATGGCTGCAGGCCCTGTGTGCCTTGTGCCCTCTTGGGAGGGTGCTGGGCCCTGGCCCCATGTCAGTCACACATTTCTGGAGTGGAATCTCTCTCAGGGCAGAAGGCAGCTTCTCTCTCTCCTTAAAACTCTTGACATTTTGTTCAGCAGCAGCCAAGGGCCATGCTTCCTCTTTCCCTGAGAAGACAGAAGCCACCAGAGGGGACTTCCATGGAGGGCTGCCAGGGCAGCAGTGGGGTCAGTCCCTGTCCCTGGGGATCAAGCATCCAAGCCCCTCCCTGTCATGGGATGCCGCCCTTCACCTAGTCTGGGAAGCCCTCTCATCTCTAGCAAAAGAAGCACCTTGATCCCACCCACCACCCCTCCCCACTTCCACTCTCCCTCTTCCTGTTCCTCTTCCCCCTCCTGGAGCCCATGCTGGCCTCACTCTGCCACTCCAGTGCTCCTGCCATGGTCGGGGGGACGCCAGGCCTCCTTGTGGGCTCTGCTTAGTTGCCTCCCCGCAGCCCCCCTACACTGCACTCAGCTGTTGCTGTCTCCCCAGCTGCCGCTTCATCATCTGACTTCCGGGCTTCAGGTTCCCAGGTCCCTCCTTCTTCATCTAACTGGGACTCTTATCTAACTGCTCGTGTCCTCTTGCTCGGACCCCTGTCACCTCCACCCAGAAACGATGGGTATAAGTGGCTCATCCTGTCCACTAGTCCTGCCTGTCCTCCGATCCTCCTTGTCATCCTGTCTGATTCTTAGGCAAAAGACTCTCTGCTCTACATCCTACTGCAGCCAGCCCCAACGCCAGGGCTCTGCCTTCAAGCAGATGCACAGCTGGCTGCGCCCACAATGGCCCAAGCCCCACTGCCCTTCACCAGGTTTCACCGTGGCTACTTCTGCGTTTGCTCCCATCTGGTTTCAGACAGCTAAAATGTGCCTGTGAAACTCGAGTCTAGAGTGTGTCCTTTGACTTGAAATTCTCATGATTCTGCTGAGATAAAAGTGAAAACCTTCTGTGACTTACCAGAGCCTACACAGTCTGGCTCCCTGCTTCATCCTGCTCACACCGAAGGGGAATCCTGGGGGCTCCTTATGCCAGGTGTCTTCTCTCCCCTGAGCCTCTCCTTCCTTGGATGGATGTGCTCTTAGACAACCTGGCTAAGTGGTAGCTTACTGTCTGGATTCTCTCCCCGTTGTGGCCCGTCAGAGCCCCTCATACTTTGTCCCATTCCATTGGCCTTGTCCTGTTCCAGTGGCATTCCATCGGAAGTCCATTGGTATAAGCCCCACGAGGTCGAGCTCTGATCTGCTTTCTCTGCTGTGAACCCAGTGCTCGGCAAGCAGCAGTGTGATTACACGTATCATCCCAAACACTCAGGTGACTGAGGCAGGAGGATTGCAAGGTTGAGGTCAGCCTGGGCAACTTAGCAAAACTCTGTCTCATTTTTTGTTTACAATGGGCTGGGGATGTACCTCAGAGGTATAGTTCTTGTTCGCATGTATGAGGCCCTGATATTCAAAGGACCAGAAAAAGAAAAGAAAGAAATCTGCTGATGAATTAGGAAGATGTGGAGGGGTGGAAGTGCTTGGACTGGAGGCCTGGCCACGGGAAGAAGCCTGGTACCACCCCAGCCCATTGGTCCAGTTGGGACTGGACCCACGGTGGTGCATGGTGGGAGTGTCCGGCTGGGCATTGCCCCAGCCATGGCCGCTGTGACCTGGAGGGAGGGAGCCAGTGAGAAGACAGAAGGGCCCTGCCAGGGCTGAGCACAGCTGAGATGGCCCAGGCAGGAGCTGCCCCGAGAAGGCTGGGGCAGCCACTCTGCTGGCCAACACTGGGAGGGACAGGGCAGATGAGGATGAGAAGTGGTTGGGACTGGCTGAGTAGAGACCAGAGCAAGGGGAGCAGTGTTACAAGGTAGGTATGTGGAGGAGGTGCAGGTGGAAGGTGGGCAGCTGTCCCCCTTCATGGAGTCCGGGGTGGGGGATTCCTGGGGGCCCTGGGCTATGTTCCAAGACAGACTGTGGTGTGAGTGTGTGCTGATGCCGTCGCAGAGGGGAGCTGCCGATGGGAAGGGAACGAGGGGCTTGGGCCAGTGTGCCTTGAGTGGCACAGAGACTTGGACAGGGCAGTGGCAAGATGAGGTCTGCCTTTGAGCTTTTCAGCAGCGTGCCCAGCAAGGTCATAGGGTAGGAGAGGTAGGTTCCAGAAAGCCCTGGGCCGGATGGTTGGGCAGACATGCGTAGTCAGGACCAGGGTGAGTGAGAGTCTGGGAGGTGCCCAGAGGAGGTGGTTCCAGGTGGGGCCTACAGGAGGGAAGGAAGAAGGATGCAGCTGGGAGGGGCTGCTCCAAGCTGGAGGTAACAAGGGGAAGAGAAGAGGGCCCACAGGCCACGAGGCCTGGGGTGGGTGACTGGATGTCTTCTGCGACACTGTCCCAGAGAGTGGAGAGCAAGATGGCCCTGGACTGGGTGGACTGGCAGGCAGGCCTGGGTCCCCTTCTAGGAGAGGTAGACCAGTTGGCCTCTGGTGGTGCCATGGCTGCCCTCCACCAGGTCAGTGTGGCCTTCTGCATTTCTCAGTGTGTTCAGGGACTGGGTCCCTGCTGGCCTTCCCCAACTCCCTGAAGGGCATCGGACCCCTCACTTGTCCACTCCACTTTCTGGGCTCCGGGTGCCCATCCTGCCTTGCTTAGCCATCCTGCAGTCCTCCAGCAGGTGCTTCTTGGGGACCCACAGAGCTGGCCCTGTCTCATGCCACTTGTAGCCAGGTGGTGTAGGCAGAAACCACAGGGCCCAAGAAGGGCCAGGGCAGGCCTCGGATCACCATGGCCGAGATCCATGCAGACGGCCTGCCAGAGGTCCCTGAGCTGGAGGCTGGAGGCAGGAGGGCAGGCAGGTCCCTGTGGCTTGCCATGGGTGGCCCGTGCTATTAGGGGAAGGAGTGTGTGTGTGTGTTTGTGTGTGTGTCGCTGACCAGGGTGCTGACCGTTGTAGATCGCATCAACATCAAGAGGAAGGGTGCTTGGCCTTCTACCCTGCTGTCAGTGCAACATGTCATTGACTGCGGCGGTGCAGGCTCCTGTGAGGGCGGCAGTGACCTGCTGGTGTGGAAGTACGCGCAGGAGCATGGCATCCCAGACGAGACCTGCAACAACTACCAGGCCAAGGACCAAGGTGGGTCTCGCTGATGCCTCCCGCCCTTCACTTCCTCTTCCATGGACGCTGGGCCATGAGCCCAGGCCTGGGACCCGGGGGAGGGCAGGTCAGAATGCAGGCCCCAGGGAGTGAGCCCCCAGAGATCCACCTGTCGCCTGCCCCGAGCCACCTGGAATGTGGTGGGGCTTGAGCCAAAAGCTGGAGACTGGGCCTTGTTGAAACCTGACAACAGAGGCTGGTGTGGATTGGTATCAGAAGGGCATTCTCCACTCTGCAGGCCTCCAACTTTGAGAAAGGCCAGACCAAGTGCCCCTATAGGCTCTGGATGTGTGTGGGCTCTGAGATTTGGGATTTTGCTGGTTTTACGGGCTCTTTGTAGGGGTGGGGTGCACATGGCATTGTGGAGAGAAGGGTTCGTCTTCCAGGCACTGGGTGCAGAGAGCAGGTGAGGAAGCTGGAAGCTAGCAGACCCAACTGGAGCACAGCATTGGCCTGGTCCCAGCCCCAGTGACCCTGGGCCGAGAGGGGTGACCTGGAGTCCCTGTAGTTGCACATTCCTTTTAGGCTTTTGGCTTGGAAACTGAAGGAAAGGAAAAGCCCAGACCCAAACCCACAATTGGCAGCTCTAAGCCACTGGACCGTCAGATCTCCCTCACAGCCAGAGCAGAGAGCTCTGGGAAACTCAGAAGGCATCTGAGACAGGAGTGGGAAAGGAGGCTTGGAGGGCCTGTGAAAGGTAGCTGCAGTGCCCTGTGCCCTGAAGTGTTGGAGGATTCGCGCCACTACTCCTGCTTGTGGGGTTTCTTCATCTTGCTTCCTGGGTGTTATTGCATGGCCAGAAATGACTCTAGACTGGTTGGTTAAGTGTTTGGTGTGGTTGAAGAAACCCAGCAGGGTCAGAAACCTCAGAGCAGTGATGATGAATCTTTTGGAGCTTTCAAATAGCTCATGGCGGCCCACTTGTCATAGGTTTGCCACCACTGCCACAGAGGAAGGGGTGGAAGGGGAGTAGGGAAGGGTGGCAGACTGCCCTGTGGAATTGGGTGGACCCTGGGGCCATGTCCACTCCACTTGGTTCCCAAGCTGGTGTTGTCTAGCCAAGGCCAGGCCGCTCTAATCCCACCAAGCCTGACAGGTGGATAGAGCTCATCAGAAACCTATTTGCAGTAGTCTTACCTGGTATTTTTGAATTAGCAAATGTAGCCACACATCCACCATGTTCCAGTTGTGCTAGGCACTGGGCTTTTGGTGTCAGAGGGACAAATTAAACCAAAAATTTAATCAAGGACTTTACTGTTTTGAGGGAAGACTTGGACACATATGTAACTGTAACCAGAGTAGTTAACTGCAAAACAGTAAAGACACGTGAGGACCTGGGCAGGCTGGACAGGCAGAAGATTCCAGGGGCGTGAAGAACACAGCAGTTGCGCAGTGCCAGGCAGAACAAAGGTTGTACTTTTTCTTTCCCTTTTCCTCCTTCCCTCCCTTTTGTTCTCCTTCCTCTTTCATTTCTTTCTCCTTATTTCCTTCCTTCCTTCATTTCTTCTCAAACCAAAATAACAAGTACACATATTTCTTTTAACCAAATCTACTGGTCTATTATTCACCAGCAAGCAATAGAATCACCTTATTAAGTTTTAAGGATTTAATTACATTCAATTTTCAGCTATAAAGTATTGTGAAAAGGTCGTCCCAGCATATAAGGAAAAGACAGAGAGGAACTTCAGAGTGTGCCTGCTATGTGCTGATTACTGTTTGTTCTTTTCTCCCTGGGCCTGGGCAAGGCTTTTTCTAACTCCTTTGCAGCTGAAAGTGTAAGCAAACAGCACCTGATAGCAAGCGGATTTCTGTTGTTAGCGAATGAGTGGTAGGCTCAATTAGAAGAGAGGAGAAGATCTGGGTGTGCTTTGTTAGCGGATCAGTGAGGAGACTCTCATGCTGACTTCTTGCTCTCCTCTAGAGTGTGACAAGTTCAACCAGTGTGGGACCTGCACCGAATTCAAGGAGTGCCACACCATCCAGAACTACACGCTCTGGAGAGTCGGCGACTACGGCTCCCTCTCAGGGAGGGAGAAGATGATGGCTGAGATCTACAAAAACGGTCCCATCAGGTGAGCAGATCCTGCCCACTGTGGGAGTCCCGCCAGATGCGGCCGTGCCAGGGCACGTGTGTGCAGGTGTGCGTGCCTGTGTCATTTTTACTTCTGGCCAGTTTTGCTTCCTTGGCTTGAGCTACAGCTTCCACACACCTTCACCTTTAAGACCGTCTGTTTCCTCAGTAAACCTCAGCCAGTGACTGACCGGCCTTGTGGCAGCGTGTGACATGTGCAGATGAGAAGCCCCCACTGGAGTGAGGACTTTCGTACAGCACAAGTCCAACCCGAGTGCACCGCGTTGGACTGACACACCTCCCCCTCCTGGGAATTCTTGTTCACAGCTGCGGTATAATGGCAACAGAAAAGATGGCTAACTACACCGGAGGCATCTATGCCGAATACCATGAGGATGCCTTCATCAACCATGTCATTTCCGTGGTTGGATGGGGTGTCAGCAGCGACAGGACCGAATACTGGATTGTCCGGAATTCATGGGGTGAACCCTGGGTAAGACATTCTCTCAAGGTAAACTAGGGGGAGTCCACGCTCCCCTCACCAGTGGTGTTGACTTCCGGCTGAGAGCTGCAGCTGCCTGCTTTGTGCTGGCTATTTCTCACCCCCAGCAGGAGACACCAGAGGCCAGATCCTTTGTGTGTGGAGCTGTCAACATCCCATGCATTGTAGGATGTTTGGCAGCATCCCTGACCCCCATCTACTACCTGCCAGTAGTTCTGCAGCTGGTACTGTGAGCAAGCAAAGCTATGCTTAACCTCCCCCAACTCCCCAGGGCAAAGTGGATCCAGGTGCAAAGGATGCATGCCGTCTCCCGTACTTTTGGAGTCTTCTAAGTAACATGAATTTTTCAAGAATAGTTTTTGAGTTGGGTCAAAAATTGAGGGGAGGCTGGGGATGTAGATCAGTGGCGCAGTGCCTGCCTGACAAGTGCAAGGTCCAGAGTTTGATCCTTGGTACTGGAAAAAAACAAAATCCAGGGGAGATAAATGCCGTAACTCTGATTGGTACTTTTTTTTTGGTACTGGGGTTCAAACTTGGGACCTTGTGCTTGCGAGGCAGGCACCAGAACCACTGAGTTAAATCCCCACCCCACAGCTCTGATTTTTTTTTTTTTTTTTGGTACTGGGGATCAAACTCGGGTCCTTGTGCCTGTGCAGCAGGCGGCGAAACCACTGAGCTAAATCCC